TGGGCAAAAACTGGAAGCATTCCCTTTGAAAACTGGCACAAGACAAGGATGCCCACTCTCACCATTCCTATTCAACATAGTATTGAAGGTTCTGGCCAGCACAATCAGGCAATAAAAAGAAGTAAAGTGTATTCAATTAGGAAAACAGGAGGTCAAATTGTCTCTATGTGCAGATGACGTGATTGTATATTTAGAACACCCCATCGTCTCTGCCCAAAATCTCCTGAAACTGATAAACAACTTCAGCAAAGTCTCAGGACACAAAATGAATGTGCAAAAATCACAAGCATTCCTATACACCAAAAACAGAGAAACAGAGAGCTAAATCATGGGTGCAATCTCATTCACAATTGCTACAAAGAGAATAAAATATGTAAGAATACAACTAACAAGGGATGTGAAGGACCTCTTCAAGGAGAACTACAAACCACTGCTCAAGGAAATAAGAGAGGACACAGATGGAAAAACATTCCATGCTCATGGATAGGAAGAATCAGTATCATGAAAATGGCCATACTGCCCAAAGTAATTTATAGATTCAATGCTATCTCCATCAAGCTACCAATGACCTTCTTCACAGAACTGGAAAAAACCACTATAAACTTAACATGAAACCAAAAGAGAGCCCACATAGCCAAGTCAATTCTAAGCAAAAAGAACAAAGCTGCAGGCACACTACCTGACCTCAAACTATACTGCAAGGCAACAGTAATCAAACCAGCATGGTACTGGCATCAAGACAGAGATATAGACCAATGGAACAGAACAGAGGCCTTGGACGCAACGCCACACATCTACAACCATCTGATCTTTGACTAACCTGACAAAAACAAGCAATGGGGAAAGGAGTCCCTGTTTAATAAATGGTGCTGGGAAAACTGGCTAGCCATGTGCAGAAAGCAGAAACTAGACCCCTTCCTGAAACCTTACACTAAAATTAACTCCAGATGGATTAAGGACTTAAACATAAGACCTAACACCACAAAAACCCTAGAAGAAAACTTAGGCAGTACCATTCAGGACATAGGCATGGGCAAGGACTTCATGACTAAAACACCAAAAGCAATGGCAACAAAAGTCAAAATAGACAAACGGGATCTAATTAAACTAAAGAGCTTCTGCACAGCAAAAGAAACTAACATCAGAGTGAACTGGCAACCATCAGAATAGGAAAAAAATTTTGCAATCCAATCTAACAAAGGGATAATATCTAGAATCTGCAAAGAACTTCAAAAAATTTTGATGGGGTTGTTTTTTTCTTGTAAAAGTGGGCAAAGGATATGAACAGACACTTCTCAAAAGAATACATTTATGCAGCCAACAAACATGAAAAAAAGCTCATCATCACTGGTCATTAGAGAAATGCAAATCAAAATTATACTGAGATACCATGTCACACCAGTTAGAATGGCGATCATTAAAAAATCTGGAGACAGATGCTGGAGAGGATGTGGAGAAATAGGAACACTTTTACACTGTTGGTGGGAATGTAAATCAGTTCAACCATTGTGGAAGATAGTGTGGCAATTCCTCAAGGATCTAGAAATAGAAATTCCATTTGACCCAGCAATTCCATTACTGGATATATACCCAGAGGATTGTAAATCATTCTGTTATAAAGACACATGCACTTGTATGTTTACTGTGGCACTGTTTACAATAGCAAAGACTTGGAACTAATCCAAATGCCCATCAATGGCAGACTGGATACAGAAAATGTGGCACATATATACCATGGAATACTATGCAGTCATAAAAAAGGATGAGTTCATGTCCCTTGCAGGTGACATGGGTGAAGCTGGAAACCATCAGTCTCAGGAAACTAACAGAGGAGCAGAAAACCAAACACCACATGTTCTCACTCATAAGTGGGTGTTGAGCAATGAGAACACATGGACACAGGGAGCGGAACATCTGACACCACGGCCTGTTGGCAAGTGAGGGCTAGCGGAGGAATGGCAAGGGGTAGATGGATTGGGGAGGGATAGCATTAGGAGAAATACCTAATATAGTTGATGAGGGATGGATATAGCCAACCACCATGGCACGTGTATACCTATGTAACGAACCTGCATGTTTTACACATGTGCCCCAGAACTTAAAAGTATAATAAAAGTTTTTACTCATTGTTATTTCTCTAGTGGATAGAAAAGTAAGAATAATAATAAAACGAGAGTTCAATGTATACAAAACAGGCATCACGGTCATAATTACGGTCTCCGTTAACTCCCCTCAGCCAGGATTTTCCCACATGAGCAACCTGAGCCTGAGGGTTCCCTTGAGTCTCCGCAGCTTTCTAGAGCTGACACCTGGAATTTCTGTGACTGCGACGCCAACAATCCACCTGGCTTAGAATTATTCTCATCTTTATTCATTTTGCTTCTGCCCAAATAGACCAAGACATGGAATTATCCAATGAAATAAGGGATGCGAAGAGCCAGGATTCATAATAGGCACTTATTGAATGCTAGTTTCCTCCATGGGTTATCTATTAACCAAGAAGAAAATACAAACAATTGGTTCTCATTTCCATAAACAGACAAAAAGGATGTGGATTTCTTCCCCCCGCCCCCCCCCAGAAATATAGTTAGTTTAAAGAAACAGTTGGGTACTTTGACTATAGAATAATTACCAAGAAGACAAGTTACATATAATTTTTCAAATAGTACTGGCCATTATATTGATTAGTGACTGAAAACTGGAACTTGTATTTTAGTCACTCACATAGATTAAAATTCCCATTGTGTCAAGAGCACTGAATGAGATACTGTGCTATTTTCAAAGGCACAGAATCACGTACTTTTTTTTTTAAAAAAAAAGGGGGGGTGGTTTAATATAATAGTCATAAACAAAATTTATATGCCCCCCCCCAAAAAAAAACACAAAGAAACTAAATCTTATAGATAATAACTATGGGACATTTTGGCTATGCTTTGTCATAAATTGATACCAACATATATATAAATGGCTGCAGAGATATATTTCTTTCATAGTCTTATCAACTCTTTGGGAATAATGATCTAATTTCCCAAAATGTCCTAGTACTATTATACCCTGTAAAGCATTTAGTCCAGAAATTATGAACCAGAAATCTCAACCTTCTTTCTTTGGCTCCTAATATTCTATTTGAATGTAAGGTTATCATGTAAGTAATACATGATAACTGCTTTCCCAGTACTCACTTTAAAATGACATTTGTGTGGAAAATGATTCATTTTCATTTTCAGTGGTAAAGAATAGTGACTTTCTGCTTAGCCTCGCATTTCAGCATCTATAACACTATTAAAAGTGCTTGTTCATTTTCTCTTTCCTGCTAGACTATAATTTCTTGAGGGCAGAGACTGTATACTGTCTATTTATTCAAAGTTCTTGATACAGTGTCTGAAGCTTAGTGGGGGCTGAACAAATTTTGTAAAATGAATAAATGATGAATGATGCCGTATTAGATCCTGTCTACTGCTAGAATTTCAGAGGAGTTTAAAAATCAATCATGTAAGGTACAGTATAATCTAATGCTGACTTATTGAGGGAAAATCTGGTAGAGATCATTTTCAATCTACATAGATAAGTGCATTCTGGTATCTTATCTGTCATTTCCCTAGTTCATAAGATAACAAAAAATAAGATAAAGTTAGATATCCATAGAGTTTGAGGCTGGGTCAGCCTTAGTGGCCTTTTACAGGTTCAATTTATTTTTGCAGGGAAGAGAACACTGAATCCTTCCAGAATAACCTGATTCCAACAGACTTAAATAAAGTTGTTCATTCTTTTAAGGTTTTCCACATACTTCCATCATTCTAGACTATGAAGTAAATTTCCATTTCCCAAAAGCCCCACTGCAGATTTTAATGATCCTGTCCACGTGATATACATTTTTTGTTTCATTGCTATTAGTGAATGACAAGTGAAGGATATTCATTTTAACTTGAAAATGTCAGGTGTGCACTTTAAGAGATATATTTTTTTGCAGCTGTTAATGAGGTGGTGTTTCTTTTTGAAAGAAATACTCATCTCTGATGCGGATGCTGTGCAGGTGACAACTGATATTTAATAAGCGATGGTTCTTGTATTAGTCGCAGTTCGCTAAAGAAAATGTCTCACATTGCTTTTGAAAAACTCTTAGCGTCACTAGCCCAAAGGCAAGATGTGACCTTTTTATTACATAATGAGAATCATTTATTATCTTACAATGTATCTTAAAGTCACAGACGAAATGCCACTTTGATAATTGCTTTCAATTAGCTTTGAGCATAGCATGTATTCATAAAACGTCTTCTCTAATTTCGAGTTGAATTAGAGAAAATTGCAGACGTAATCTACTTTAAGGTTGTCTCATTTAAGGTGATTCGTAGTTTTATATCAAAGAAATCAAAACGAGTAGCTTTAGAACAGTCTCTCAGAGTGTTTCAAGCAGGCTTTTCAATATTTGATCCTATTCTATTACCAATGAATTAACAAATTAGAAAGCTAGTTCATCATTTCTGACCTTTAATGCATGTTAACTTTTGACTTTCATTTCTAATGATTGTTTGGAAATGAAGCCTTGCAGTCCATGTTGAAAGAGAGAAACAATCTGATTAGCAAGATAAATAAGGCTTGCCTTAATACTGAGTTCATCTTGATATTGGGCTGCAACTAGGACTCTGGAAAAACGGTGCATTCTTTCCTGACTTCAATAAATAATACGTAACTAATGGTCAAGAAATAATACTGGATAATCATGTAACCTAAGGGAGCAGTTCTGGGGTATTACTACAAGTAAGATCAGAGGTAACATAGTATTTAAAATGTGACTTCGGAGAATTTTAAAAATTATTATGATTTAAGTGCACATCCTTATCTCCCTTAAAAATATTTTGGAAACAATAGAAACTCTGAAATTGCATTTCACACTTGTGATGTTTCCGTCATTCATGAAATACTGTTAACCTTAACAGAGAGTCTCACAATTTGGTATTATATCTGGAGATTACATTCTCTCCCTCTCTCTTTTCTTCTAGATAAAAATTACACACAAGAACCAAGCCCCAATGCTGATGGGCCCTCCTCCAAAAACCGGGTTATTCTGCTCCCTCGTCAAAAGGACAAGAAACCGAAGCAAGGAATAATCCTGTCTTGTTTCATTCTTAGAAATTGAATTAGCATAATTGGGCCCTGGAACACATATGCTGGAAGTCTTTGAACCATTTCAAGTCTCCTGCTCATGCAAAATCATGGAATTGGTTTAACAGTTTTTGTTACTGAGCTAATGTAAAATGCAGCTATTAGAAAATTTATTGTCTCCATTTTTATAGGCATCTTTGCATGAAGAAAGCAGAAGTTTACATGAAGTGAAACTGCGTATTTTGGTTGCATGCATTCCCACAGATTTTTACGTCTCCCACCCACCTCTTCTCCAATTTCCATTTACTAACCTGTGAGAAAAACCTGTGAAACATGAAAAAGGAAATACCATGGGAAATGTGATGCTCAGTATGATTCTAATTATTACTATGTACTAATCAGTAACACTACAATGATCATAATTGCAGATTGCTATATGTTTCCCTTTTAGAATCAGTGTATCAGTGACCTATGACTGGAGGAGAAACTTTTAATTCAAAGGTTTTATTAAATAGTTGACTACAATATCTTGCTATTTATACCTAGTTTTTCTTCAACAACTTAACTCAGAGGAGTGGAAATAAAAATATCAGGTATAAAGTTTTCTCGTGCTGAAAATAGTTTTAATTTGCTTAGTTTTCTTCTTAATTCCAGAAATAAGTGAAAACATATTACTTGACAGTAAAGTGTGGTAATATGGCAAGCCTTGTTCCTTTCTGCATGAGAATCTAGGAGAGAATTCATAACCATACCAACAACCAAATAGATGTTTTAAACGATGTGCCTAATCAATGTGTTTCCCACCAAAGATTTAGAAATAGATGCTTGAGAGAAATTGGTTAATGCATAATTAATTAAGCATGGTGGAGCAAATTTGTGGTTCCTGTGATTCATTTTCTGATGACTAAAATGCTGGAAAGAGAGTGAGTTACCCATTCATTATGATTAAAATTCTCACTTTCACAGACAGACAGTAGACCAGACAACATAATCAAAGCTCCATAAATGATTTCTTGCTTTTTTCAGTCATTTATAAATATAGATGTAATTTTTCATGAATCAGTTAAGTACACTTGAAGGAAGTAAATGATTGTATCAGTTTCTTTCTAGTAGAAAGTGGTACCTGTAACAATATTGAGCTCTTGGAAGCGAATCATGCATGCAGTCAGCTCCCTCCTCCTCACCTACTCCACTCTATGACATTTCAAATGTTTACATGGAAACAGCAGCCTAGATCACTGTTGAAGGTGTTCACGGCATGGTTGGATTCTCTGATTGTTTAAAGAAATCATGGAACGGTACTTTTCTTTTAGTGTTTCATTAAGCCTAAGATATAAAATGAAATGCTTCTCAACAGTCTTGGAACCTTGTTCATTCATATTGACCTGCATCTCATCATTGCATGTTTTATGTTTTCAAACATGCCATAAGGAAAATGAGTGCTTGAACTGCATGATTTATTAGTTTCTCTCCACTCTGCATTAAAGTGCTAATGATTTATCAGTTCTATTCTGTTATTGATTCATTCATTTTTGAATAACAAATAGCATTTAGTGATTCTGTTGAACAAAATCCCATGCATGGATTTATGGATTTCAAGTGAAATTGCTATAATTTTAGTTCTGTGGTTTGAAAACTCAACTGAATGCTGTTCTATCAAATAGCTACTCTCAAGCAATGTGCTATAATGGAAGATTATGTACAAAGTATATTCTTTTAGTGTTCCTGGAACATTGGATGGTAAATATCAACCAACAATAAGCTTAATTACTTTAAAAATAAAGCTTCTGAATAAAATTAAGACATAATTTAGCATTCCCAGGAAAATTATGATTACAATTGCAAATTTAGTACAGCAATCACTTGTCCTGGTATAATAAAAAATAAAAAAGTTGTTTGGCAGAACAGTAATCTAGACCAAAAGAAATCTCACAACAGTAACAAGTGCATTACTGCCACAATGTTACATAACACACACATTGATTTTTGTATCTATGGTTACAGGTAATAAATATTTTCACATGAATTGACAAAATTTTCTACAATGGGCAGGCAGGCTTTGTGTCAAAAATACATTTTGAAGCCACAAATTATTTTATGTTCGCTACAACACACAATTACTTCTTGGCTACCTTTTATAGTATATCGTTTGAAGGCTGCAACAGTTTGTGAATCATTCTTAACAATCTGTGCAGTAGAAACTGTTGGATAGACAGTGGGATGAGACAAATTAAACAACCTGCCTGTAAGACTTCAATAACTGAAATAATGGGATGCAGCCCCACTCCAACATAGCTGTATGACTACAATTAGTGCTAATAGTGGTTACATTTTCAGTCAGTTGGATTCTTTGGTACCAATAATAAACGTTCAAATATGAATCCAATTTGACTTTTCTCAACTCATTTTCTAAAGACACTGATGTGCTTGCCCCTTCAAGTATACGACCCCTGGGGTTTGGAAAGTAGTTTTAAAAAATGTAACTTGATGGGTTCGAAATCAGAGAAGATATTCCCCCCAGTTTTATCACAGCTTCATATGAAAAACATATAGTTTAAGGAAAACTCTGAACTGAAACTCTATAATATAAAATATTGAATGACGATGTTACCTTTACAAGATGAAAACTTCTACATGTGTGGATGAATTCTGAGCTACTGAGTTGTGCTCTTTTAATATAGAAGACATAGCTGTATAAAGTTTTAAGTGGATGAAAGTCTTAAAGGTAAATCAGTGCTGGATTTAACAGTACTCAGAAGCAAAGGGGGAAAAACAAACATGCATTCTGCTAAATATTGCCATATGCTGCATCGATGAGATTCCAGAGAGAGATTCCAGAGAAAACCTCGACATCCACACTTCTAACCAAATAGTAAAGGAGGCATCTACATTGAACCAGAAAGTTTAAAAGACAGAAACCCAGTCTCTACTAAAAATACAAAAACTAGCTGGGCATGGTGGTGCACGCCTGTAGTCCCAGCTACTCGGGAGGCTGAGGCAGGAGAATTGCTTGAACCCAGGAGACAGAGGTTGTGGTGAGCCGAGATCGCACCATTGCACTCCAGCCTGGTTAACACGAGCGAAACTCCGTCTCAAAAAAAAAAAAAAAAAAAAAAACAATTTATTTTTTCCACTTCACGTGTATACCATGTGTATTTGAGGTGAAAATGCTCGTCAATGTACTGTGGTGGAAGGAGATAGCTTGTAGGAAGTTAAAAAAAAAATAAAAATTTAAAACTGTTTTTATTTTATTTAAAATGGGTTCATATGATCATAGCCAGAATAAAACAAAGGCTCAGATGTTTAGCATAGTCTACTGCAGACAGAAATTTAAATCTAGTGAGGGCTAATGAATCGCATGCGGGTTTCCACATTTTATTTTGTTTTTCTTTTTAGGGGTATGGGAAGCAGTTGGAATTTTTCAGGGAAGAATCTGTTTGGTATCTCAGACTGTATTCTCTTTGAATGAGACAAGATTTTGACGGAATTCTTTTCCTTTCTCTGTCAATGTCAGTTTGTTGCTCATTGGTTATAAAAAGGGAAATATACTTTTCATGGCACATATAACCCCCAAAGAATTATTCAATACAGAATAATTAAATAATATTGAATCCTATTTTCCATTATTATTCAAATAACTTAAACAATTGTCTCCATTAAAAAGTTAAACCCTTGTAACATTTATTAAGGCTGTAAACCTAAAGAAAATAAATAAAACCCTGTAAAAGAGCTATTATTTTGTGAGAGGCAGAAATCACCATTTAAAGCTCCCCTCTAAATTCTGCTGTGTTTCAATAAAGTTTGAGTAAACTCACATTTGAGAGATTCTGTATAACCTTATTGTGTTTAAAAACATGGAACTCATTTAATTATAGTACCTTAATTATTTTCTCAGAAAGTGATATATACGATATCCTGCTTTTTGAAATAAAAATGTTAACCACTCAGTTCGGTGTCATTTGTTACTGCCATTCTGGCCAGATTTTCTCTCTTAAATGAACTCCTCGGGCAGCTCCACAATCCTCCTACCCCGCTGAATATATCCACTAGGGATATGAGGCCAGACACCCTACCTTTTGTCAGGGAGTAATTAGGGACTGAATTACATGCAATTAAGAACCAAATTAGTCCATTTTGTGGTACTTTGTGCCCCAAGTTGCTGCTGTGCATATTATTTCAGCAATTTTAGATTCCAAGTAAGCCAACAACCTGAATGATAACACTGTGGGAACACAAGCTGAATTTTCTGGATGAAACCAATGTCTTATTTCGTGTAACAGACGTCAACAAATATCTCTTGGGCACTCACTAGGTTCAACGTATTATGCAAAGCGGCTGCAGCAATGAAAACATTCTTAAGTAAACAATTTCTTCTCTAAACACCTTTGAATCTTTTAGAAGAATTAAGTAAACAGATGACCATGTTACACAACTGGATAAGGGAAGAACCAAGGTAAGTAAAATAGGATATGACGTATTCAAAAGAGGGAACTATAATTTAGTGAATAAATCCGAAAAGGCCTTTAGAGAAAGTAGATCAGCAAGAGGCTTTTTGAAAAGCTAAAACTTTACATGAGGAAAGAAGGTCAAATTAAGGAAATTCAGAATCGGAGAAAGTGAATGGCAGCAGGAACACAGAAATCAAGTCCTAAATTCTTCATCGACTCATCTCATTGAAAAGTTAGAGAATTTACAGATAACTCATATGGATGATGCTTTTACTTAAAATTATTAGCTAAACAAGGAACAAGAGAAGAGAGCAGCACAAAAAGAGGCAAGGAAGTAAGAGAGGGAATGGGACAGAGTAACACAAACCCCCCGAATTAGAAATGGTGATAAAAATTAATTTTACATTATGGAACCGAAACAATGAAAAAAATAATTCCCAGCTATTTTGGCTTGAAAACTTGGAAACCAATATCTGGTCTTTCTCCATTTTCAGGCAGTTTGATTAGATTATATACTGTGAATGTAAGTGACTTCATAAACTCTCTAAAGCTTAATGAAACTAACTAGAGAACACTAATTGTAAAATGTTGATGCTAAGTGTTTAAAAATTGAATATTAAAAATACATATAAAATAAGTTAAATTTTTTTAATAGAATATTAAATCTTTCCAACAAATTATAACTGATGGCAGAGTCACTAGCAAGTCCAAAAAGCTCTCTCTCTTTTACTCTGTATTTGTATCCAACTGTTCATTCCTTAAAGTCAGTTGATCTCAGAAAAACATTTTTGTTTAAAATACTATTGATAATAATCCTTAAATTACCAGGGACTTTATAGTATATTGGTTGAAAAATTAGAAACCATGTTTGAGCTGAAAGAAACATGGCAAGGCATGGTGACTCACGCCTGCAATCCCATTACTCTGGGAGGCTGAGGCAGGTGGATCACCTGAGGTCAGGAGTTCAAGACCAGCCCAGCCAACATGGTGAAACCCCATCTCCACTAAAATACAAAAAAAATTAGTCAGGCATGGTGGCACGTGCCTGTAGTCCCAACTACTCGACAGGCTGAGGCACGAGAATTGCTTGAACCGGGGAGGCAAAGGTTGCAGTGAGCGGGTATCACACCACCGCACTACAGCCTGGGCAACAGAGTAAGAAAGAAAAAGAAAAAGAAAAAGAAGACTACTACCTAATGTGTATATTTTTTCTACAGCAGCTATATTTTTAAGATCTTTCATCTTCAATTACCATATAGTACTTCTACATCATTTTTGCCACTCAAAAAGATGGGACTTCACATCTCACAAAAGTTTCTTTCGACATTTTGTGAAAAGTTTGAAGACCACCCCCATGTTGAGTCCCCAGTGCCTTCTCAGCTTTGCAGTTGCGGGCAGCATACTGACTTGTTTCAGCATGAGGGCTCCGGGGCCAGATCCCGCTACAACGCTTGCATCTGCTGCTCACTTACTGTGTGACCTCAGCCCAGTTATTTAAGATCCCTGAGCCTCAGTTTTCTCAACTGTGAAGTTAAAACTATGTATTAAAAATTAAATAATACATTAAATAATTTAGAGCAGTTCTGGCACATAGACATTAATATACCAGGCCTGGGTGTGTGGTACAGCAGGACAATACAAATCCACAGTGCAGATCTTATTCTGTTCTGGAAAAACAGCTGAAAAATTGTTTATGTTTATCTGTTAGAAACCTAGTTGTCAACTTCAGGTTCAAAACAATTACTTGTCATTGTATGTTCGGGTTATGTGTGTAACATGAGGCTCTCGCTAAACTAATTCCCTCACAAAATTATCTGGACATATGCAGGTATGCCAGAATAACCTCCTACAAACTCTAAATCTCAGCAAATGTTATTAGACCATCAAGAGAATTCTACAGTTATATAACTTCATAGCATTTTGAGAATTAAATATAGTGTCATCATGAGACACATCACCAGAACCCATGGCCACTGTTGAAAGGCATGCCTTTCTTGAAGTTTCCATTAAATTTTTATTCATATTCTTTGTGTTTCTCCCTTCACCCCACAATCATCCCTCAAAGCCAAAACAGTTTTATTTAAATTTCAAAATTTCACTGTCAACACTCAAAGTCTGCAATGAGTATACCTCTTACATTTCTTAGACATACCTCTCTTTGGAAAACACCAGGACCAATAATAGTTGACTGGTGCCCATGCCTGTCAGATCCCAAAAACCACACATAATTGGTATTGCTTTTGCCAGTCTTTCCTCCCCTTAACCCACCTAGCAGGGATCCAGAAAGCTCCCCTCATTCCTGCTATACCACACACCCAGGCCTGGCAGGCCGGGAGAAGAACCACCAGGAGTAGCGAGAGTGTCTATAGCCCATTACACTTCCACGGCTCCCACACACTGGGGTGGCACATATATACCGTGGACTACTATGCAGCCATAAAAAAGGATGAGTTCATGTCCTTTGCAGGGACATGGATGAAGCTAGAAACCATCATTCCCAGCAAACTGACACAAGAACAGAAAACCAAACAACGCATGTTCTCACTCATAAGTGGGTGTTGAACAATGAGAACACATGGTCACAGGGAGGGGAACATGACACACACCAGAGCCTGTTAGGGTGTGGGGGGCTTGGGGAGGGTTAGCAGGGGATCGGGGGGATAAAGGAGGGATAGCATTAGGAGAAATACCTAATGTAGATAACAGGGTGATGGATGCAGCAAACCACCATGGCACATGTATACCTATGTAACAAACCTGCATGCTCTGGACATGTACCCCAGACCTTAAAATATAATAAAAATATTAATTAAAAGAAATTAAAACAAAAAAAAAACCCCTCTGTGACAGAGTCAGTAATGGAGCCCAGAAATGCAAAAACATATCTTCTTTTCATAATCACTACGATACAATTGTCTTTCACCAGGCCTGAAGGATCAGGTTCAATGTAACATGATAAAACCTATTTATTACTTAACTCATACTAGAAATATTAAACAATAAAATTCTCATTTCATAGTATGAGTAGAAAAAATTGATTCAATTTTTACTTTTACAGCAATTGCCACGAGAAGATTCAAGACCATGAACCATATCCTGAGGTTAAAAGAACATTATTGAAACTCAGAATTACCTAATGACTATCAATTTAATAGAGAAGTTGTTGATGATGTTTCTTATGTCAAAACATAGCTTGGAGGCAAGTGGCATTCATCGGGTGATAAACACATCAAATAAAAGACCACATCGGCAACTTCTGTATTGTAACAAGTAATTTTAAAATCATTACAATGATTTGATGGATTACTTGCAATCAAATGATAAACAGATCAATGGATAGAAGGATAGATAGATGAATAGGTAATTTTCTTTTTAGAATTAAAAAAAAAGTAAAAACACTTTTGATTCACAAATGCATTTCTATTTTTAAGTAGGCCGGGGTCCCCACCCCCAGGGCCATGGATCGGAATTGGCCCATGGCGTATCAGGATCCAAGCTGAACAACA